AGATCATATGAGATTGAGATGTTCTGGGTGATATGACCATAAACTATTATCTCTGTTCACTAAAAAAGCCAGAAGCAATGTGTGTCCCTGGGACCCAGGCATTGAGATGCCCAGACTGATTTTTAACTTCTGTTTAGAGTACTAAGACTCTGTGAAGAAGTCTTATCACAGTCATAAGCCAGGAAAAGTACACAATACTACAAAGAAATAAGCTGTAAAAACAGTATTGGGATGATGCCACAAGAACTGAGGAGTAACTGCGGAGACACGCTCACAGACCAAATATGGTAAAAAATATGGTCCACCAGAAGCATAACACCACTACTGAAATATTAAATACACAAAAAATCCAGGAGTTTATGATGACTCTCAATTGCATATGCAACACCTCACTGGGCTACATCTAGAGGGTGCCTGGAAGGAAGTTTATCATTTCACACTGGCAAACATATTTATTCTTTTGCTTCTGTAGAAATTGTGTCTTAGGGGGCTGGTGAGATGGCTCAGTGGTCTAAAGCACCTACCTAGAACAAGCTAAGCAAATCACAGGGACCACGGTTCAATCCCCCAGCACCACATGCCAGCCAGCCCTGCCCCCTTGTGGGCTGAGGTGGCCACACACACACACACACACACACACACAAATAAAAAAAAAAAAGAAATTGTGTCTTGGATAATAGCTGATCAAGGAATGGTTGTCTTTATAGGAATATAGCTAATAAACAAGGAGGAAGGATAAAAGCAGAACATCATTTTATAGGCTCTAATAAATCTGGTTAATTAACAAGGCCTAGTAACACCAGAGACAGCCAGTAATGAAAGGTCTCCTGAAAAAAACACACCCTATCACTCTCTAAAGTAGTACCTTTGGAGAAAAAGGATGAATGTGTGTGTGTGTGTGTGTGTGTGTGTGACTGTACATATTTCACACCTAAATGAAAATAACACTCAAAATCCAGTGACTAATCTGAAGACGAGCAAATTAACTAACAACAATATCGAGACATGGGAAATTCCACAGGACAATCCAATTTTTCAACAAATAAGACGCAAGGAGGAAAAAAGACACACAGATAAGAAACCCATATGAATATGGGACATATCAATTAATGGCAATTCATGAACTTCACTTGAACAAACATTAAACATTAAAAATACATTCAAATACATACACGTGGCAAATGTGAAAGTAGACTAAGGCACCAGATATTAAGACAGGTTTGATTTTTAGACATGATAAAGATACTGTTTAGGACTGGGGATATAGCTTAGCAGTGCTGCCCCTGTCTGGCAAGTGCAAGGTCCTGAGTTTGATTCCCAGTTAAAAAAAAAATGGAAGAAAAATGATTTCTGGTCTTCTGGAGAAATACATTGAAATAATGTATGGGGTCTGCTTCAACACTGAGGAGGGGGAAAATGGAAGAGTTGAGTGACGAGTTGAGGTTAGACTACATTGGGTGACAGGTTTATAGCAATTTACTGCTATCATTCACCCCACTGTGGACAGTACCAAAATTTTCCAGAATAAAGTTAAAACAGGAACACAAACATCAAAAAAAATTAGATGGCTAATGTTAGCCAGCAATGACACTGATATCATCAAACTACATATTCCAGTCCAGAAGTCCAGAATGAGTACCTGATAAGCTCCAGTCAAAGTTTCTGGACCATCACGTATTTTGGGCTTTGTTTTGCTTTTGAAACAGGGTCTCACTTAATTCAGGCTGGTCTTGAACTCAGCAATCCTCCCGCCTCAGTCTGACAAGTGATGGGATTACAAGAATATTAATAAAAGTCAAATACTGAACAAATTCTGTAATGTTCTCAGGTTGGCAGGAATAGAAAAAGAGGTTGAAAACCACTGTGTAAACAAATTGAGAGTGAGGAATACATTATTCACCCAGTATTTATCTCAGGTGGTACTCAAATATTTGATAAATTAATGAGTGACCCTGGGAGGTGCAAATGAATAGTACCCTTAAAAGTAGCTAAGGCCAACTGCTACATGTGCAAAAATCACTCATACTTGATAAAAGCACATCATACAGGTGAGTTTAAAGAGCAGGGCTGTTTCAAGTAGAATAGGTCTCTTTTATACAGTCACAAATTAGTCACTTCTAATAGCTGAAAGTAAATACCTCGAATAAAAATAGTTTTAAACACACAATTGGGTGGGGTGTGGCTAGCAAATATTCTGATTCTACAATCTGTTTTGGACAAGACAGTGTTTCTTATGTGACTTAACAAAACAAACAGTAGTCAGATTCCATGAGCTGAAATAGTACACTATTTGTAAACAGGGCTGACTGCCCAAGACTTACCAATACAGATACTGCATTTTTCAAAGCTAAAGGGGAATATACAATGACTAATACTCACATATGTTTACATATCTCTCAAATAAGGCATATAAATATCAAATATAGATTTACTTTTTATTTCCAAAGTGTAACTGGAGTCGTCTACCGTCCAACTATGGGTGACTATAGAACATCTGAAACATAAGAATAACCTAATTTTAAGGCTAGAAGGAGCTGATAAACCATTTTATCCAAATTTCTCATTCTGTTGATGAAAAAACAGATGATTATGATTAATAATCTACATTATGATGAATAGCACTGAATGAAATTAGCTGGGATAGCCACACTTGAACAAAGAGTGTACTCAGGTACAAAGTTCTAGGCATCAAGAGCTGAAGTCTTCCAGTTCACAGGAATGACATTTAACAGAGTAATAGTATCAGTCTCAACTCTAAGTGTCTATGTAATCATACGTATGCGCAAAAATAATAACATGAGCTTTTCTGCTAACTCCTTTCAAAACACATTTGTCTTAGATTTGAATAGCATTTAACAGTACCTCAATTACCTTGTCCAAATGATTGTAAGCAAATGGAAGGTAGCTGTTTTCCTTTACTTATTTTTTGTAGTCTCTCACTGATGCAACAAAGCTCATACTATAATTACAAGAGCTATTTCTTACACAATTTCCAAATATAGAAAAAATAATTACAATACAAACTGATTATCCTGGCAATCTAAACTGATAAATCAGCTGTATTTCTTGAGTATTACACAGAGCAGTAACTGACAATGTAGGTTGTTACATATGTCAATTAATAAAATGTTTGATAATGACAGGAATGGGGAGGAAGAGATCTGCATTTACGTTACAAAATGTACAAGGCTTTGCTGGAATACACAAACAGAAAACTGCCTGCAGGAGAGGAATGGGGAAAGAAAAATGACAAACCTTTTTTTTATTTCTGTTGAAACATTCAATTACTTTAAGTCCTGAGTCCATACCTGTTTAATTCTAGAGGTGTATTGAAAGTGATGTATCTTCACTGTATACGGAATTCTTCAGGTGATTCTCTGACATTGTGGAAAGGAAAACTACTTAAGATTGACAACAGTACTGTTCTTAGTTGGGATGATTCAAGATCCCTGAAGGAAACTGGAATATAAATCAACAGTTCTTTTCAAAAGCTGCAAACAAAGTTTGAGGATTTTTTTCTTCTAAAAGGGATACAGCAGCCTTCCACAGATAAAACATAACACAAGATTATTAAGTGAAGGGTGTTTCAAACTCTACCCTAACTCTTTTCAAAACACATTTGTCTTAGATTTGAATAGCAATCAAATCTAACTCTCAAGTTGGCAGTCCAAATTTATACATGGAAATCTGAAGGCATTTATTAAAATCAGTGTAGTGTTATGAATAAAGATTCTAAATCTTTCAGAGATTTTATGTTGCTAACTTTATCAAATTCAAAATGTCTTGTTTTCCTAAAAAAAAAAAAAACCTGAAATGCAAAATCTTGAAATATTTAATGTTATATTTATTTTATTAATCTCTGAGGACTTACAATAAAATTCTGAAATGCATACCACACACCTACATTCCACCATTTTGTTTCTTCCTTTTAAGATCAAAAACTTAAGAATCAAGGAAAACTATTTTCATAAAAATTTAGGAACATTAAAGGAACACTGATAGCTTTGTGTAATAATTGAAGTAGGTAGATGCCCCTTCAAAATAATTCTTTCCCTATTTTTATATATTACCAAGTATTTTCAACCAAATAACACAAGAATATGCTTTTTCAAAACTAAAAAGGGGAATCATCATTCCACCTTGAACCAACATTGGAGTAATAAGATCTAAAATTTGGAATAACTTCTAAAATAAAAAGATGGTGTATGGTTAAAACTATTAATATATATTCAAGGCAAATAGTTTTTTTTTTTCTTCCCATTAAGAAAACAAGGAAAAAGTGCCCTGCCTGATTTTATAAGCCTTCCACCATAATTAGTTCTTACCACCTTGGAGGGGAGGAGCTAAACTCAGGGTAACCTGCAGTAAAGGAAAATAGTATAAATACTGCAGGACAGCTCGGCACAGAACATCTCCTGCACTGCTCATCTGGGCCAGGAGGCCTCCCAAAGCTGCCAAGGCCAACCTCCGGATCTCCTAGCACCCAAGTAAGTCTATGGACAAGAGTCACTGGTAGAACGTCATGTGTTGTTAGCTTGCTCAGAAACAAGTTACGTGATGTTCCGTACATAATTTTTGCAAACTGCTTTCCACTATGATGTCTATGTAAGGCTTATTTGTATCAGTCTACATAAGATAATTTTAATAAAACCATATTGTACAAACTTGCTGTAATTTGAATGTTAGTGCATTTTAAAACTACTAAATACTTCAGGCTATGTTAAATATCTTAAATTACTTAATGCAGACATCTAATGATGCTTTCTGTTTGCTTGTTTGTATATCACTTTAGTTCTACTTGATTCTTTGGGGCTTCCAAAAGTAAGTAACACCTATACTCACATGTCTAAAAATCTCAGTAATATATGGAATATATTCTAAATATAAGGACTGGCTAAAAATATAGATGACTATATAAAGAGTTTACCTGTGCATCCCTGGAAAAAATAAAATACTTCAATAATAACACATAGAAATAATTCCTTTCTGACTTACAGAATCCTCTGAGAATATGCTGCCACAAATAGCCCTTTGGCTGCTAATGACAGTGATCTTGGTTCATGGACAGTTTTATGGTGAGCGACACAAAACACCTGCTGGTGTAAAAGGCCCACTGCCCAATACTGAGACCCGGTTCTTCATTCCGTATACCATAAGGAGTAAAGGTAAGCTTAACTGTATGTTTTGCTCTAAACCAGAGGGTTGGTGCTTTCTATAGTTTTAACAATAATAAACACTTTAACAAAAATGCTTTCAACTCTGCAGTTAATCTACTTTCAAATTCCTAAATTAGCTCAAATTTTTACGACAAAATGATTTGTGGGAGGACAATATAATAATAGTAATGTCCCTTCCACAGTAAAAATAAAAGATATACTTGAAGAACAGCAAGTATTTTTATGTGTGGAGACTCACCTCAAATGATGCTTCTGCACAAATAACTAATCATAATCTGGAAATACTTATCCAATCAAAATTAATCATGCTTAAAATTTTAATTAAAATAAGTGTATAAAGATACAAAATACATAAAGATTTTAAGATATATCAAAATACTTAAATATTGTAAAACTCATTCAACTGGTCTACAAATATACACAAAACTGAATCTTAAATAAAACTTGATGTCCTTCCTCAACAAATCAAGAGGCAAATGAAGTAGCAATCCTCACAGTTATTTGTTTATTCTAATATAGTTTAATTGGGAAATGCAGACTTAACTGCTACAAACTAGCTACACAGCCTCAGGCAAGATTTTTTTCCTTCCTGTACTTTAATTTTTTCATTTGAAAAATGAGGAACAGCTAATTATCTGAAAGACCTACTAGTCTGTCAAGTGCTCCATGGTTTGCCGCTGCTATACACCTGGCATACTATGTCTCTTCTTCCACTACTGTTCTACTGGTATAGCCACAGATACGGTTTACCTCTTCTGAATCTACTTGTCACCTGGCTTTCCCTGCTACAGTGAGCAGTACTTTCACAATATATGAAAAATACTAATAGATTCGGAGAAGGGCAGCCACTATGTCTTACCTTCACTAATTCCAACTAACAGCATCTGACACAACCTGCCCATCAAACATCTACTGAATAATATAAACTGATAGCAGGCTTCAACTCTCCTTTCCATAAAATTTTTCCTTTTAGTTACATATTTTGTCCTAAAAATAAAGCTGAAGTCATTTGTCAGAATTTTCAATAACATGCCTTTGGGAATAACCATTTTGAGTAAACTATACTTGTAATACTTTTTTTTAAGAAGATGAAATTTAAAATATTTTCTGAAAGGTAGCGTAACATTTAAAATAAAGGCAGAGTTGTACACTCTTGAATGTCTCAGAGTACAACTAAAGTTAGAGAAAGAGAAAAGCTAGAAAAGAAAGAAGACAAACCTGTTCTTTTACTTGAAGCAACAAATATAATTTGACATGGTATGATATACAGTACCAGGTTCAATATTCTCATAAATTCTGACTTTTAATACTTTAGTAGAATAAACAGTTTTGAATTAAAAAATAGAGCACATCACTTTTAGGTTAAACATATTTCTATCTTCCCACCTTAAGATACTGCATCATCCTATTTTTATACAATAAAAATATTTTGTTAATGGATAAAAAGTTCGGTAGCTGTAGCGTTTTTTATTTTTTTATTTTTTGTGGTTGGCTCAGCCCCCCCCCCAGGGGGCGGGGCTGGCACAGCATGTGGTGCTGCTTGCCTAAGCCTGCTTAATAAGCAGGCCCTTTAAGTCACTGAGCAATCTCACCAGCCATTAGTAGCTGTATCTTAACTACTCTTAAACCAATCTCTTTTTTAAAATAATTTAAGATAAAAGCTCAAATACATTATCATCCACTAGCAAAGATTAGTAGTGTAACAAACATAAACATTAAATTGCTAACAGAAGTTCAAAGAGTTCCTACATAACTCCAGGATGGCCAGAACAGTTTAGCCAAACCCATTAAATTATGCACAGGATGCTCTAGTGTGAACAGATCCAGCTACCACTTCAGGACATAGCCAACTACCTTATCAGCCTGGACACCAGGCAGGCAGTCATTTTTCCTTAAGGGTGCTGCTGCCCTAGTCTTATTTTGGAGAAGACAAGCTACAAAGAGGGGTCAAAGTTATTCTTGTATTGAGAGGTTTAGGAGCCACCAGGACAACATTCAAAGTGACACGGGTCACTGTCATTGGAGTTATAGGCTCAAATGGTACCCAATGCCATCAACTTCAGTAAGATTTGTTTTCACTCTTTCACAGCAAAACAGATGTCTAGTCAGGCTAAGATAGCTTGTTAGATAAGAAACAATCATAACATAAATTACGTGAGAAAATATTGTATGAAACATTTTATAAATGTTACTATCCTTTCTACGTGTTGAAGAACTTCTTTGAGAGATAAAAAGTATTTATTGTAGTTTGGCATGGTTATGTATGCCTGAAATCCCGGGACTTTGGAAGACTGAGGTAGGAGGACCACAAGTTTAAGTGCAGTCACTAAGATCTTGTTTCAACAAATAAAAATGGGTTGGGAATAAAGCTCAGCACGAAGGCTGTGGGTTCATCTCCCAGTACCCACTAAAACAAACAATGCTTATGATGGTCACTGCTAAATACTAACATCTGCAATGCCCTGTTACAGCCTATTTCTAGGTGACCAAAGCAGCCCGTGGACACCTTTTAAAGCACAGTCACACATCGTACTGTCTGACAGCGGTTCTGAAGGAGTAGCCTGTGCACTCCACCCGAGCCCCAAAGCACTTTCTACAACATGGGCACTAAGTAAAGGATTACTGAAGTTAGGGAGAAGTATTTTGGTCAAAAGAACTCATATCTTTATAAAACCAAATACTATTATTTGTGTGCATTTAGGTGTTTAAACACTACTTTGTGTACCTCATGCATTGTGTCTAATTCTCTGATTCTTCATTTCAATTTCAAATCAGTAAGGGACAGAATAAAACTTCACAGAATATACTACGGTAGAAAAAAAAGCAGTCTAAATCTAAACCGTTGGCAGAGCAGAGCAGACGGAAATTTGAATTAATTTCATTTCTCATTTATGCCTTATAGGAGAGCCCTGGTGAGGAAACTGTTACACTTCTGAAACATTTTTCACTTATTCATCAATTGGCATTTTCTTTTTCTGTCAGCTCTGTCCAATACTTCTTCCTTACCTTTTAAGATGATATTCTTAAAACAAGTATGATATCTTTGCCTCTACTGTATTCCTATGCGAGAATTCTTCACTGGCATCTTGTTTTCATGGTTCTCAAGGAGATAAACTATTATGGTAACTGAATTTTTTTTTTTTTTTTTTTTTTTTTTTGGGCCAGGGATTGAACTCAGAACCATAAGCTTTCCAGGCAGGCGTTTAAGCTGCTGAGTCATCTCCCAGGCCCATGAATTTGTGAAACTATTTTCTCTAATAATATTTTTAAAAATGATGCCAAATGGATCATCAGAATGCCTCTAAGACTGGTCCACATCGGGCTGTCTGGAATGACTGACACTGCAGTGCCTGTCCTGACTTAGTTTGCGAAGCATCTATTATTCTCAATGTTACTAACCATCCTCTTTTCTGGTGTGTGTATTGGCATGTCTTTCAGGTATAGCGGTAAGAGGAGAGCAAGGTGTCCCTGGTCCACCAGGCCCTGCAGGACCTCGAGGGCACCCAGGTCCTTCCGGGCCACCAGGAAAACCAGGTTATGGAAGTCCTGGACTCCAAGGAGAGCCAGGGTTGCCAGGACCACCAGGACCGTCAGGCACTGGGAAGCCAGGTTTGCCTGGACTCCCAGGAAAACCTGGGGAGAGAGGACCATACGGACCAAAAGGAGATGTTGGACCAGCGGGCTTACCTGGACCACGGGGCCCACCAGGGCCACCTGGAATCCCTGGCCCAGCTGGAATTTCTATGTCAGGAAAACCAGGGCCACAAGGACCTGCAGGTGCCCTGGGACCCAGGGGATTTCCTGGGGAAAAGGGTGTACCAGGAGCCCCTGGTGTGAATGGACAAAAAGGGGACACAGGTTATGGTGCTCCTGGCCGTCCTGGTGAGAGGGGCCTCCCAGGCCCTCAGGGTCCCATGGGACCACCTGGCCCTCCTGGAGTGGGAAAAAGAGGTGAAAATGGGTTTCCAGGACAGCCAGGTATCAAAGGTAATCAGGGTTTTCCAGGAGAAAGGGGACCAACTGGCCTTCCAGGTGCCCAAGGTCCTCCTGGGGGACGAGGACCAGAAGGTATTGGAAAGCCAGGAGCCCCTGGAGCCCCCGGTCAGCCAGGGATTCCAGGAACAAAAGGCCAACCTGGGATTCAAGGAATGGCTGGACCCCCTGGGGCTCCTGGTTTTGGGAAACCAGGCTTGCCAGGTGTGAAGGGACAAAGAGGACCTGCTGGACTTCCAGGGAGTCCAGGTGCCAAAGGGGAACAAGGGCCAGCAGGTCATCCTGGGGAGCCTGGTCTGCCTGGATCTCCTGGAAGTGCAGGACCCCAAGGACCAAAAGGCATTCCAGGCAACCATGGTATTCCAGGTCCTAAAGGTGAAACAGGGCCACTAGGGCCTGCAGGCCATCCTGGGGCTCGGGGAGCAAGGGGTCCTCCTGGGTCAGAAGGAAAACCAGGGTACCCAGGAGAGCCAGGTCTCAGTGGGCCTAAGGGTAACCCAGGGCTACCAGGTTCAAAAGGTGACCCTGGAGTGAGAGGACCCCTTGGTCTCCCAGGTTCCAGAGGCCTCACAGGAGCTAAGGGAGTGCCAGGCCTTGATGGTGAAGCTGGTCCAAGAGGTGTCCCTGGAATACCAGGCACGAGAGGCCCTATTGGGCCACCAGGTATTCCAGGATTCCCTGGATCTAAAGGTGATCCTGGAAGTCCAGGTGCTCCTGGGCCAGCTGGCATAGCAACTAAAGGCCTTAATGGACCAGCTGGACCACCAGGGCCTCCAGGTCCAAGAGGCCATGATGGAAAGCCTGGTATCCCTGGGCCTCCAGGTCCCCCAGGTCCCCCAGGCCAGGCAGTCATGTCTGAGGGCTTCACTAAGTCAGGCCAAAGGCCGGGTCTCTCGGGGATGCCTCTTGCCAGTGCCAACCAGGGAGTAACGGGAATTCCTGTGTCTGGTTTTACTGTTATCCTTTCCAAAGCTTACCCAGCAATAGGTGCTCCCATTCCATTTGACAAGATTTTGTATAATAGGCAACAGCATTATGACCCAAGAACTGGAATCTTTACCTGCAGGATACCTGGAATATACTATTTCTCCTACCACGTGCATGTGAAAGGGACTCATGTTTGGGTTGGCCTGTATAAGAATGGCACCCCCATAATGTACACCTATGATGAGTATTCCAAAGGATACCTGGATCAGGCTTCGGGAAGCGCCATTGTCGACCTCACAGAAAATGACCAGGTGTGGCTCCAGCTGCCCAATGCTGAGTCAAGTGGCCTCTACTCCTCTGAGTATGTCCACTCCTCCTTCTCAGGGTTCCTCGTGGCTCCCATGTGAACAAAGTCCCACCGAGCTAAGCTAAATCTCCTGTATGAAAGGCACAGCCACTCCATCCCACCCCACAAAACGTATATGGAGGTGGGCTGAACAGTGCATCATAAAAGTCCTACTAATGTTAAAAAGAAAAAAAAAAAAAGCAAACCACGAAAAACCAAATCAGCATTCTAAAATGTGCTAAAATTTAAGAAACTCAGTGTTCCCTTTTAAAATAAGCCTTATTCTAACAATTAATGCAAGACCTTTTAGGGAATATCCAAAAGGTAACACGTGATGTTGTAGAACTTAAATACTTGAATTTCTACATTTAAAAAACACTGTGTACCCTAAGATACTTGTCATGGTGCATTATTCTATGGCTTTTAAGCCCCTTTCATCAAGATTGATTCAAATATACAGGTGCATATGTAGTCTATGAAGTTCTTGGAAGAAACCAAAACACTGCTAAAATTAATCTGAAAGGCCAGGTGCTTTAAAATGACAGATCTCTTCAAACTTTTCTGTGATTGCAGAAAATCTTTCCATATACCCAGCACAACTCAGAAACAGGTGCCTGACCCACTCGTTAACACAAATGTGATTAATATGATTTAATTCCTTACTGAATCTTATGCAATATTCTGTGGGTTTATAAAACATTCATGTATGTGTACTTCCCATTACAGTGAAATTATTACTAGTATCAAGGATTTCAAAATAATGGCTATAAGTGAAGATTATTTATTTATGCTCTGTACTGTATTTTTATATTGCTCTTTAAAACTTCTAAGCTGTGCCTCACGCATTGAAGCATGAAATATTTAATCTACTTATTTACAAAGCAATAAAATAACATGAACAAATTTTTATCCTGAATTTACTTGAAATCTGCAATTTCCTATTCTCAATCATGGTTTTCAAAAGTGTTTCACTTTCAAAAGTTAAGGAGGACAAAAGCAATAAGGATGGCTTTTACAGCTGTTGTGGGTGGTATGGGTGGCATTCCACACACTTAGTACTCAGTGTGAACTGTGAAGGGGACCCACAAAGCCACAGCAGCTTAGGAGCTAGGTCAAGGGAGGAAAAGTAGACACAGAAAAGTGAGAAAATCATGCCACAGGGGGGAAAGCAGCAGGAGGCAGAGAAATACGTAATTCGAACAAATAATCTACAATTAGTATTTATGGCTTTGACATTTTTTAGTCATAATAAAGTTATTTTGATGGCTTAATTTACATGAAGAAGGCTAGCAATATTTTAGTGTCAATCAAAAGGCAACATTTTCAAAGTTGAATACTGCTCTTGAGTATCTATTAGCCGACTAGTTGAATCAAGCCAGTCTGAGTAAAGTAACGGAGGTAACATGCTATAAAAGGCACCTACTTATCCCTTAGAACTAGCTGTTGTGTAGCCCACACAATCTGGGAAGGAAAAATCTAAAACCTTGGCTCTGACCCCACTCTGGGACAACCACTGCTGTGTCTCACCAGCAAGAACATTTGCACTAGCAGCCACTGTGCCCACCTGTCTGCAGCTGCCACACTACAGGTTACAGCTTTTACCGACTGTCCCTCCCAACCCAGAAAACAGTAAGACTGGAGTTTTTTGATTCCGGAAATCCACAGCACAACACTACTGGCAGACATGGAAATGATATTTTAACAGCACAGCAAGAAATACTGACAATTATGACCACAAAACAGACACGAATAAAAGAGCCTCTTAAAATATAAGCAGAACTAACTTTATAGCAACATTTAAGATCAAATTAAATCTTATGTAAGGAGCACAGCAAGAGGCAACTTCTATTTAATTCAGTAGACACAGCGTTTAACAAACATCTATTAGGAAGCCTCTCTTCCCATTACTCACCCTTAAAAGCTGACATTTTAAAATTGTGTTGAATACCAGCAACTATATCCTTCCAAAAATCAAATGTTTTTTGACCACTGTTCTGCTAAAAAAGAAATGTCCAAATGTAACACTTGCAGTAATTTTGAGTATAAGCATAGTGGAAAATGCTGGCAAATAATTACTGTATTACTGAACAATAAGACAGGGATTTATGTTTTAGTAAAGGTAAAAGGTTGATAAAGTTTTCATCCTATTTAATATGCAGGATTCTTTCACCCCACTTTCTAACTAGATATTAAAAGCTAATATAGCCCAAATAAAATCACAATTTCCACTTATTATAAAGTCTACAGGTTACAGAAGACTCTGTTTTATTTTATTCTATTTTTTTGTGGTACCAGGGAATGAACTCAGGACCTTGCACTTGCCAGGCAAGTCCTTTTTCTACTGAGCTATCTTCCCTGGTTACAGAAGCCTTTACACACATAAGTGAATTTACAGTGTCTTATGGTTTATGAATTCTGTGAATCTATTACTTCATGTACTCTGGCGTCAATGTGGCCAAGAAGCCTATAAAGCTCTAAAGCCTCAAATGCTGGTTATTTCAGAACTCAATGCCCACTTAACCTGAATTTCAACATAAAACAATAGATCAATATAGAAGAAATGAATGAGGTTTCAAATCTAAAATTTGAATCATTTCTATTAAGATATTTTAAAAACAGAAAACAAGTATTATACTAAAGAATACAGCTTATAGCCCTTTGCTTCCATGGAAACATTAATAGCATCCTCAATCATTCTTAACAGCATGTAAACTACAAAATACTTAAAGATGCAACTTGGGCTGTCGGTGTAGGTCAGTCGCACAGCACTCATCTGCACTGTGTGAGGCCCCATGTCTGACCTCCAACACTCTCAAAAAACAAAAACACACAAAAAAACCCAAAAAAACAAAAAAACCCAAGAAGACAAACATTTTGTTTGTAGTAACTATGAGACACCGATCCCATTTCATGTTAAAAAAAAAGATGAAAAAAGAGATGTATGAAATACACTAAAACTACTGTTTAATAGAAATTTTCACGGACACATAGCTGTAGTTCTAATTAAAAAGCCATTCATATACACACTTATGACTTTAAAAGGCAACATATGCAAAAGGGAAAGTCATTCTGACATGTACACATTTCTATGTACAGATCTGAAGTTTTAAGTATAAACTGCTAAAACTAGAGATCTATTTCACTTTGATTCATAGCACAAAGCAAAAGTCTACACACTTTACATTGCTTAAAACGATGAATTAAAAAATTTCACCTCATTTTTCTGTTTTATACTTTTCACAATGCTTGAAAAGTTTGAAACACATGGAATATGAATTACTTTTAAGTTTTATTCTGCTAAGGAAATCAAGAAAATATTTGTCCACATCGTGTTTTGTATTTTCTTTTTCTACACTCTTGCACCCTCTGCAGGTTTATTTTCAGGGGTGGGGTGGTCACTGCTATTTAATTTTCTAAAAATATTTTCACCAAATTCACCATGTTTTTCTTCTTCAGTCACCCCTGAAACCACAAACAGGTAATTAAATAAAGTCCTAGCTCAAAGTTATATATAATTAAGTCCTTTTACTTCTGGCTGAATACAAACAGTTTTTTAAAGACATGAGTTCCCACTCACCTTTGTTAAAGAATCCACCACCCTGGCACATAAGAGAGCTCCTGGCAGGTCAAAATAGTTATCATAAAAATAATATTTCCCTAAAACAAGAACAAAATTTTAAAATTGAGAACACTTTTAATGTGTCACACACATGGAATACACAGCAACTTGCCTGAAGACACAATGACTTTTGGCTCCCTTGTTTGAAGGCCTCCATTTCATTCAAAATGGCTGCATTAGAAAATCCATGCCTTTCAAAGAACACACGCTCTGAGGACATATGTCCTTGCTAAGTTAAGCACTTTATTAAAAATATTTAGGTTGTCATCATTTATTTGCATTTGAGAAATGGAAATAAAAACAGCACAGAGATTCTATCTTATGCCAGAAAGAATGGCATCAGCAAGACCTCAACCAATAAGAAATGCTGGTAGGACTGGAAATCCTTCCCCACTGTTGCTGGAAGTGTAGAACAGTGTGGAACACTATAGAAACCGGTGTGGATATTCCTTAAAAACTATAATTGGAAGTCCTACTTGATCCAGCTCTTCTTCTGCTATATGTCTTCCTGGAAGAATTAAAAACATCATACTACAGTGATATATGTGCATCTATGTTTATAGCAGCACAAATCTGTAATAGCTAAATCTTGGAAATACCCCATCAACCAAGGAATTGATAAAAAAAAAGATGTGTTTTTTAATATAATGGCATACTACTCAGCCATAAAGAAGGATAAAATGTGAGTCTTGAAACACTTAAAGGTATAGGGAAGCAATTAGAGACCATCCTCATAAGCGAAATAACAGACTCACATGCATAAATATTGTACTGCTTCACTAGTTTGAGAAGCTGAAAGAGTAAACAAGATCCAAACTGTACAGTGCATATTATGAATTGGACAGAAACTGTTCAAAAGACAAAAGAGAAGAGAAACTGATGGGGGAAAGGAAGGAGAGAAAAGGAAAAAGTATGTATGTACACAAGATAGTTAAGATAGTTATTCAGTTAGTTTCTCTTAGATCACTGAAAAAGAAAGGCTTGTGCTAATGTTGTTTGGACAATATTTCATGCCTATACCTCGAACTGTGAGTAACTACTATGAAGATAACAATATACAACATATTAGCTACTGTTACTTTATGAGCCTGATTTGAAACTTTTTTCTATTATTTCTTTTTAAAATTAAAAAATTGGGCTGGCGAGATGGCTCAGTGGTCTGAAGCACCTACTTGGAACAAGCTTGGCAAAGCACAGAGACTGCGGTTCGATCCCCCAGCACCACATGCCAGCCAGCCCCGCCCCCTGGTGGGCTGAGCTGGCCATACACACACACACACACACACACACACACACACACAATAAATAAATAAATGTTAAAAAAATAAAATAAAATAAAATTAAAAAATTAATTATCTTAAAAATACAAAGTCAAAAACCAGAATATACCCCAAACGTAAAATAGAATATGTAGATGTTATCGATGTCATTAAATTTCAAAACAACCAGCTAACACAGAAGTCCCACAGAGCACTTCACATAGCGAGGTTCTTCTACCTGCATCCTTGGCCCGCTTGGAGCAGCCATGCAGTACACATGGCATTTCGGACACGCTGCAGTACAACCTGAGGGTGCTAAGAGGAGTAAGGAGCAAGCTGCATGAGCTAAGCATTTGGTGTCAGAAAACTCCACAGCTCATGGCTGGTGCACTTCAGCATCTTACAGAGGGAAGGAGGGTTAAATATATTCTGTATGGGCCATGGCCCGTATAGGGCTCGAAGCAAACTTGAGCCCTTCCCTGCACAAATGCCATTTTTGGATTGTGGTCTCCAGGCATCACTTCTCACAGCCCATACGACAGTTCCACAGCTGGAATCTGCCTTCAGCCACAGTGCAGAGGAGCATCCTACCTACCTCAAACTCCAGGACTCTTTGTTTTTGTGCAAAGGCCCTGGAGCCAAATGGTTTCTGTGGCCAACCTCAGCTAATGGAGCAGAAGCCAGTGAACAAATATCCAAGCATCCTATGCACTGGGCTGACAGCTGCAGGAGGTGATTTCTGTGCCTCTGCTCAGAAGTATCTGTGAAAGCTAGCACCCACCATCCCTAACTTCTATAATATATCAATTTCCTAACCAGATTACTCTTTCAAGGTAAAAAAGTAAACTGGGTTGCAGAATCACAGGATTTTCCTTTTTTACTTCTCAATATTAGATTTTTAAAAAATGTATTACCTTTCCTCTATTATTCTGCAAAAACAATACCACTTTATTCTGCATCACAGCCTCACTACCTGGGTACAGGGCACCTGATGAAAAATACTTGCCTAAACAACCCAGATAAGACTAGTAGGGGCTGGGGATATAGCTCAGTGGCACAAGCACCTGCTTGGCAAGTGCTAGGTGCTGAGTTTGATTCCTGCTACCTGCTGCCCCCCACACCAAAACAGAGGACATGGACAAGACCTCTCTGATGGTCATCCTTAAGAACCACAGGGTGCTATAGATTCAAGGAGGTAGCAGTGCCCTCTAGTGGTGAAACAGTGGGCAAGGCAGGATGTCCTCCTGGCGAAAGCAATTTTTGATAGCTGGGAAGTACTCTAGAATTTGAATGGATTTAGGAATGAAATGTGTATGTGCTATCCCCTTCCTGTGATAAGGAAATAACTCATTTGTAATTGCTAAACTCTGAAGAGATAACAGCAGTTCTCTATCATTACTTGTGTAAAAGGGTATGTACCCAACGGGATGTATGGAAGTATTCTGTGTCTACTCTCAAAGGTAAAATCTTGATCTTTCTTATCAATTTATTTTATCAATAGTAAATACACTTCCTTATACTTTCAACTTACTATGGAAATGCAGAGAAAAACAAAACCTTCAAAACATAGGCAAATACCACAAACCAAGCATATACAATAAATACTTCAATAAACATATATAATAAAACTTCAATAAAGCCTATTTAATCATTTCATATAAATTTATGGACATTATTCTCATGGAAATAATGCTTGAAAAATTATTTCACATTTAGCCTTGGTGAGGCTCTTTAAAGAAACTAGAAAAGAAAAAGAACTGTTAATTTAAAACACAAGAAAATTGGATCAGGGATCTAACTCAGTAACAGAGGCCTTGTCCAGGTTGAAGTTCTGGGTTCAATTCACAGTTCTACAAAGATAAAAATAATTAAAAAGTACAGGAAAGCAAAATACAAAGGCAGAATATATTAAACGTAAAAAATAAAAATAAAATATGGAGAGAACGGGTAATGGGGAGAGGAAACTGAGGAGCCTGTGTATAAGGAAACAATAAAGAATACACATTCTCAGAGGATGGCTAAGGAATACACTATTTCTTTTCTTTCTTTTTTTTGCAGAACTGGAGATTGAACTCAAGCCCTTGTGCTTGCCAGGGAAGTGCTTATTCTACTGAGCTATCTCCCTGGCCCCTGTACTTTTTCTAATGGGTGATTTTATGTACTCCAGAACAAATACAAGTAAAAGGATTATGAATAAAACCTTATATGTAACAGTATGAAAACGCTGCTAACAACATTTTGCATCAGCTGCCAAACAGAAATCAGACATAGCTAGCAAACAACTACATTTTATTGCAATACACAGAAGGCAAGTTCCTTCATGTATTCTGCCCAGTGGAGGGCACAGAGGACCTTTGTGTTCTCACAATACAGGTTCAGGGTCCAAAGCAAAAAAGCAATGGACCCAGAGTCACCTATGTGAGTCATACCTGGGTGGCTGGGCATGCCAGTGTCAGACACGAAGTACTTCCACTCCTTTGCCCCATACTCCTTGGCTAGCACGTCAGGAGCCATCATCTTGGTGCCACGACTTGCCCTGGTTTCGAGAGAGATGCATATTGCTCATCAACACCTTTCCTGAATGCTCAGCTAACAAACTCTTGTCCTATCCTGCCTGTCCCCTTCCTTCCCTCCTTTCTTTCCCTTCCCTTCCCCTCCCTTCCCTTTGCTTTCCTTTTCTGTTTTCAACTGGAACACGTCCCTGCTTAAGAGTCTATAAGGTGTTTTGATCAACAGCAACAGCTTTACTTTTTTCCCTTAAACCCACCAGGAAATGATTAGAGGCTACTCATTCTTTAAGGTCATTGCTACGTTTGACACCACTTCTAGAGAAGCAGTCATTTAAGTAAAGGATGAGATGAACATAGCTGAACACTGGTGGGAAGCTGGCTCTCGCAGCAGTGACCAGAATTAGAGCATAAGTCACCCAGGGCTATAGCAGGCAGCTCACACACCTGGCACCACGGACAGATGACTGTCAGTATAAAAGATTGCGGAGAGAAGGGACAACATGCCCACCTGAGGATATCACAGCCAAAAGTACCTTGGGACTTGACCAGGGAAATGCAGTAAAACAGAACAAGGTAAGAAAACAGCTATGCTCACAATACTGTTTTTTTGTTTCAGTTGGGCCTTGTTACAAGAAACAGTTCATATTTTATGTAGTTTATTATGAGAAACTCTGGTGAAGGGGGAAAATGGAGTAAGATAAACAAACAGGGAAAGCATATACTTTTTCCTTGTAGTATTGTAGTACTGAGGATTGAACCCAGTGCCTTCTCACTTATCTATCTCCTCAGGCTCTACAGTCCCAGATCTTTTTAAAAATTTACTTTGATCAACAACGGAACTTAAAAAAAATTGGGGTATAACTATGAATGTCCATTTTCTATCTGTGTATTCAAAGTGGTTGGGATAGATATATAGTTGCATTCTCTTAATGAATAGAATGATTTTTTCTAATGGTGTTTGTAAGTAGGATCACAAGTCTGCATCTTGTACAGCAATTAGCCACTAAGAAGAATATATGCAGTGTATTATTTGTTGAAAAAAAAAATTTACTTTGAGATAGGATCTCATCAAGTGCTTAAATTGCCCAATGGGGGCTTGAACTTGTGGTTCTCCTGCCTCAGACTTTCAGAGGGCTGGGATTATAGGCAGGAGTCAACATGTCTAGAATAAATTGGCTTCTTTATGAAGAGGTGAATACTAGATAATCAAGATGAATCCCAAATGCGAAATATGGTCAATAAAGAATGCCCTGTACTGTGCTGGAAACACGGTACCAAGGAAATTAGCTATAAAATTCAGGAGAAACTAGACCAGCCAGGACATAAATGGGCAAACAGAGAAGCAGAGTGTGGGGGACAACAGACACGTATGAAAAAAAAATCACATAAAACAGCCAAAAACACCATAATAGTTAACATCTTGTCTGTTAACTTGATTGGCTTGAGCAAAAAAAAAAAAAAAAAAAAAAATCACATAAAACAGCCAAAAACACCATAATAGTTAACATCCTGTCTGTTAACTTGATTGGCTTGAGCAATATGTAGACCAGTAAAACCAATTTCTGGGTGTGTCTGAGTGGCTCACAGGGGTGAGGTGTCAGGCACTGCATCTAATCTCTGGTGTCTTCCTCTCTAGAGCTTTTCCCTGCTCCTTGCTTCCTGATGCCTTGAGAGGAGCAGCTTTCCTCCCCATTTCCTTCTGACATAAGCTGGGAACCAGCAGATCATGAAATGAACCCTCTGAAACTGTAAACCAAGAACAAAGCTCGAGTCCTTTACATTGCAGGTGTCACAAATACTGCAGCAATATGCCCACTGGTAAAAGTCACAGTCAAAGCTGCACACACTAATTCTAGTTGTCTGAGAAAAGACAAATTATGAAGTATTCAAAGGTGTATCCACGGGCTAGGGAGATAGCTCAGTGGTCTAAGTGCCTGCCATGCAAGCACAACGACCCAAGTTTGATCCTTGGTACTGCATGCTATGCTGGTCCTAGAAGCCCAGGTGCCCTGTGCTAGCCACAAAAACCAGGTACGGTGGCGCATGCTTGTAATCCCAGGACTGCGGAAGCTGAGACATGAGGATCACTACGAGTCTGAACCGCGTAGCGAAACCCTGCACCAAATAAATAAATAAAAGATTTTAAAAATTTGTTTACAAAGAAGAGGTGCATCTATACCTGCTCTAGTTTGATGTACTGTAGGGGAAGGTCTAGAGAAAACTCATGGTAGAGTTTGTACAGTAAGCCCCTAACACACAAACTTTTGAGTTTTGAACCTTCACTGATACGAACAGATCTTGGGCTGTGAACATGTGTAGATGTGAACATATCACGGATATATCTCATGTGTCTGCTGGACACTGTCACATCTGTGTTACTGTGATTACTATATAGTAGTATAGTACAGCTGGCGACACTATTTTTGTGTGTGTTTGGTTTTTACGCTTTACCATGTAGACAGAATTTGTTGGTAAACTGTGGACTTGCATACAATGGAATAGGACTGGAGTGCCAAAACGGAAGAGTATATACACAAGGAACCTATGTTGAGTCTTATCTTTCACCTCTGCTCATACTGGGATAACCAAGAAATGGCACAGCTCTATCACTATACTACTAGTCTGGATACAAAATAGATTCTCACTTCCTAGTGTTCTCTGCAAGGCTCAGAACAGGGACAGCAGCTATTTCTTGACTGATTTCATACACTTATCATCCCTTGAGGGGGTGTGGCAGATACAGGGGGGCAGGAAAGCATGTCAGCACAGAATGTAGGAAAGGGGAAGACCCAATAAGCATTGTAACAGTGTTGAAAAAACTTCCAGAAGGACTTGAAATACATGAGCCTTGGGTGATACATGCAAAGTTACATAAATGGAGGAAAGAAAGGAAGTAGACACAGATCACCAACTCCAAACCAATAACCACTCTCCCCTTCTCTAATCAAAGAAAGCTACATACCTAGTCACAAGTAGTACAGTTTCTAGGCTCCTTTGCAATAGGCAGTGGTCAAATGAAGCAAGCTGCTAACTTTCTGTTGCACTTCCTGCAAATATTTTGAATGAGGAACTATACCTTTAGATTTCACAGATCAGATAATCTCTCACCTATTTCAGTAAAATAATCTTATTTAACCCATAACTTAAGGATCATATACTACTAGTTTAGCAAAAAGCAACTCATACAGGACTGAGGATACTGATCAGTGTAAAGCACTTGCCCAGAACATTTGAGGCACAGAGTTCAAACCCCAGTAACACAAAAACAATTCCTATAGTAACATCTGTCTTAAAAGTAAGACACAATAACACACATGCCATAGGCTCATCATCACTGTTTTAAAGAGGCAAACTTTTGACTTTACAAATGTATTGCTGTACCTGAGCACAGTGCCATTATCTGCAAGTTTAATGAAGGTTCCATCTTCTAGGTCCAATGCCAAACCTTTGCAACTAAAATGGAAAAGTGATTATCAATCCATTCAAATGTGTAAATAATGCAAGAAGCAATAATTTATATTTTTAAAATGTTACAACTCCAAAAAAGTGATTCTTCTACCCAGGTGACTGTCACATTAAAAATATTTGAGAAGTGTAGATTCTATCACAGAGGAGGTATGTAAAGACTGTTATATAGGCAAAGGGCAGCAAGTATCAATTTGTAAAATTTTTAGATTTTTAAAAAGACAAACTTGAAACACAAAAGAAAGCCTGAACTTTCAGACAGCAAATTGGTCAAGCAATGGCCATGACTCATCCAGATGGCTGACACTAGCAAAAGATCTACAAACTGCTGTACATGGTTTCAGGGTAAATCCTGAGGAGATATGACAGACTTTGTCAGATATAGTTACGTTTTTAGTTATACTGGTCTTGCTTTGATTTGATCTGAACCATCCAGCAGAAAAGTATAACCATGAAGTATAAAAAGTAAAGCTATATTAATACACTGAGCTGTAAAAGGCTCAAGTAAACAACTTCTGACATTGCCAGTTCTGCTGATAACCCACTACTATTATGGACTACTGGACTATATTGGGTTATTTTGGTGCATTCAAGCACATACAATATTTGAATGGCAACAGAACACCCATCTCTGACAAAACAAAACAAAAAAAGGGGATATAAATGAAGATCCATTTTGTAATGAAAAAATGTATCTGTATATACAAAATAGGATAGATATACAGCTACTTTCTCTTAGTTCAATGGGAAGAAAGATTTGTACTAATAGTGTTTAGAGAAGATACCATGTCTGCATCTTGTACTATGAATAACTACTATGAAGACAACAATATGCAATGTATTAATTATTGTAACTGTCCTACTAATCTGTTTTGAAACTCTCATTGCGATTTCTTTCTCATTAAAATTAATTTAAAAAAACTGAAAAAGAAAGCCTAAAGACAATCCTATCTATGCCTTTGTCAAAATTGGCAAATTTTCCCCATTATCTAAGCACATTATATGGGAACACACACGTGCATGCTTGCATGTATGCACACATTCATATCCTACAAAGTAATCTCTTAGCCTGATGTATTTTCTACACCATTTAGAATTTGTCTCACTTTATTTAGGTCTAGTTGTAAGAACCTTCCCTCTGAGCAGAGCATATTACAGAAAACCACTAAAAGAAAGTCAAATACTCTGTTTTTATGTTCTTCACTGTTAAAGACTTGTGGGACCTAGAGAGAAAAGTGTCAATTCATATTACAAATAATAAAAGCCAAGTGTTTTCATAGTCCCTAACCACCAAGAGAATTAACCAAAAATGACAAGGAGAATTAGAAACATTATTTACTCTAACAGTGAAATTTCCAGAGCTACTGGTTTCTTATAGGAAGCCTTCTGTTTTTCCCTTTTATATGAAGGACCTATCAAAGGACTAACCAAGTAACAAAGGAATGTATAATAGATCAATATTACATATTTTTCACGTGTTTTCAGTACCAATATTAATTTCATTTTAGTTTACTTATCTTTAAAAATTTGTCTGGGGAAGGGGTCTCACTATGTTACCCAGTCTGACAGTGAACTGCTGGGCTAAGAGATCATCCAGTTTTAGTGTCAAGGTGCATGCCACTGGACTATAACTGACTAAAGTGAAAAACTAAAGTAGTGTAAGATTTTTGTTTGTTTTTATAGTTTAAATGGGGAAGAAACAGAAAAGCTTTTGGAAGTTGAGAATTCTAAACTGGAAAGGGAGTCAACAAGAATATCTATCCAAATTATACAAAACCAAATGTTCCAGGCCAGATATTCAACACATGATGACTCACTTTGTGGTTCTTTACTTGAAAGATAATAAAGCTAACTTTCTCTTGATAAAGCTGTAAACTTTATTTTTTAACCTTTGAAACTCTTATGACAAATTTAAGCTACACAAAAATTCCAAATTAATCACATAAGCTCTCAGCTTATTTTCACAATTAAGTCTAAACTTGTTCAAAGTAGAAAACAAAACAAAACAAAATTTAAAACAGAAGGCATTTTGTTCTTTGATTCAATTTCACATTTCACTCTCTACCTTCACAGAAGAAACGGCATTAAAATTTTATCAGCAATAATTAAGAACCACAGGGACTGTCAGATACTAAAAAGAAAGAGAAAAAAAGAGCTTACCAGAAATCCCAATCCTCTGGGGTTACAGTGAGCAATTCTTTATCATACCCTTTCTCCTTGACTAGGAACTGAGCAAAGCTATTATAAATGAGCTGCAAAATGAGGAAGGAGAAAAGAGTAAATATAAAATTCACTGTTCATTCTTAATTTCAAAGACCTAAAAACTTAATGAAATTACTGATGAGGCTGGCCAGAGGAAAATCTACTTGTGAGGCTCTGTTGTTTAAACCCCTTTCACAAGGAATTTATCAACTCCTGAGAGTTCAGGTAATTCTCCTACCCACAATTATATCATCAGTATATAATTATACCATTAAGGACAATTATTTATCTTAGTCTTGAATTCTAATAGATTTGAGATCATAATGAGGCCCAGACAAAGCTTTGTAACATTTTACACATTCCTGTTGCTTTGGCTTGTGTCTAGATGTCCCTCCAAAGCCTCATGCAGCCTTCTAGTTTGTGATTCATAATCCAGTGCAGGGATTATGGGTGTGAGTGTGACACCTGCCCTTGGGTAGGTAGCCTTCGTACAGTGTAAGGCAAGAAAAGAGGCTTGCTCTCTGATTCTTCTCCCTTTTGCCCCTGTTGCTTTTGCTGTTTTCCATCACCATGAACTATTGCCCTCTGCCATGTGCCACTCTGTCTTGGAGCTAGCTGAGGAGGGACTGAAACTGTCACAAATTGTGAGCAAAATAAACCTTTCCTTCCTTAATTTTGAGTGTCAGGTATTTTTTCTCAGCAACAAGAGAGAAAAGTAACTAAGACACCCGTACAATAAGCATGTTAACACTGTATCTTTTCATCTGTCCCTGGTCAACTACTAGTAAGGCCCCTCCCCAAGGAGTCTTGGAGAAATACACATGAGAACCAGGATGATTTAAAGGAGGAATGCCGAAGCCTATATTAGATATAGGAACTCTACTTTTCTACCAAAAGAAAACAACTAAGGAAAAAGGACAAGAGAAGCTTTTGGAAGTAATTTTGATAAATGCTTTGACTATTGGCAAATATTTTGATTTTTCAAAATAAAAAAAATAGGTTTTGAGTGAAATGTATGTTGTTTTTTTAAGAGCTGGTTTTAATTTTTAAAAAACAGTGGATACCAAACAAATAGTGAACAAAAAAGTGGATGACAGTCCACACAGATGCCACCTCCCTTGACTTAGAAAGAGTGACTCAAGCTAGCATCAAATGCTTTCAGACCTGAGGCAGGACAATCGTTAGGGATCAGTGCCCAAAAGTACACACTCAACAGCTTGACCTACACATGCTAACCTAGGACAGGTTGTGACAGCACAGCACATTATGAGGGGGCAGAGGGTATCATACAAGAGGACTGGAGAAGGCCTAGGGAGGTGGTGATGTTTATAAGTCGTCTAGGAAATGTAGCTGTGAGTAGGGTAAATCTGAAGAAAATGTAGAGAAGCACATTTTATGCACCTGCATAAACTAAAGAGCCTATACCTCATATACTGCGGTACATAAACAGCTGGTGCCAGGGGTTTGGGCTGCTAGGAAATAAAGGCTGGGAAAGCAAAGGCTCCTGCCAAGTAGAGATGCTGTCTTAAAGCTAACGAAGATCACTGAAAGGGTACTGCCATCCAGGCCAGATGAACATTAGACCCACAATCCTCATCCCTGGAGGTTGGTAAGAAGCCTAAGTACCACTTCTTGAACCACCAGAGATTCCAAGCCTACAGCTGAAGGAGGGGCCCAAATGGGGCACCTGTGGAATTGCTCAACTTAAGAAGGCCTGAAAATCCCTGGCTTACATTTTTTATGGATTTTAAATCATTAAAAAATAAAAATAAAAAATGTATTGAGATACACTAAAAAACAAAGTACTAAGGGCAATAAAATGTACATATCACGATCCTTTCTGTAAGGACTAGTGCTACACGGGGTTCAGGCAGATGAGAGGATGGCACAGAGGTTGGGAAATAGGGTGTGACCTGCAATTACAGAGAACTGGTAAAGAGGATGGACAATAAAGCATGACTTGTCAATCACAGACAGCTGTCAAATCACCCAGCACAGGGCAGTGAGATAGCTCAGTGGATTAACCACCTGCTTAGGCAAGCACAAGTACCAGGGTTTGATACCTGGCCCCACATGCTGCTCCAGCCCTGCCCCTGTGCCCACTGTAGAGACCAGGAATGGTGGTCCATCCCTTTAATCCCAGTGCTGGGGAGGCTGAAAACAAGAGGATCACTACAAATCCCAGCTGTGTAGTGAGACCCTATAGTAAATACATTAAAAGCAAAAACAAAAATAAAAAACAAACAGACAAAAAAATGCACACAGAACAGCTTGCCAAAGCCTGGATCTGAGTCAGGGGAGGATAAAAAAGATGGCAGCTTTTGGGCCTCCTCACACCGTCTTACTTTTCCAGTGATCCATTCTCTATGTAGGGCATAGTTTCTCTTTTCTTTTTACTTCTCTCTTCTTTATTTTACTTTTCCTTTCTTTTATCTTCAATGAATAAAACCTTTGTGTTTACTGGTTGCCTTTGGCTGACTATACGGGATAAGAGCCTGGAACCAGCGGACGCTTCCCACAACAGGGTTAACATACATAAAGTGTTTAGAGCACAGAGCACTGCCTGGTGTACGGGCAAATCCAACTAAAGTATTTGCTATTACCATCAGTCATGTGCTAGTCAAAACACTACCCTGACTCAGAGCATTTCCACATTTCCATCGCATAAATGCTCCCACCATTGCCTATTTTAAGCTACCAACATTTTTCCTGCTCATGTTTCCTAAACTAGTTGGCTTTGACTGGCCACTTACTGCACATCACTGGTCTACCTGTACTACAGGCACTTTATACTTCCGGACAAGTGGAATTTCTTGCACCCTGATGATGACTCTAAGGAAATGATATTGAAGCTTAGAGACCAAGTGCCCAAACTGCTCATGTCATTGCCTGGTGACACTACTTTCTGAGCATTTGAGTCTTTGATTTTGGTACGTCTTGCTAAGCAGCTCAGACTCCTAGTGATCCTCCTGTCTCGGTTTCTCCAGTGCTGGGATTACAGATGTATGGCACTACATCTGGTTTTAGTGGCTGGCCTGGTACAGGGGAATGGGGACACGGATGGACACATGGACACACACACACACACTCAGACAACCACAGAGCATGTGGTACTGTGATCAAACCCGGATCCTTGCGCTTGTCAGGTAGGTGCTTAGATCACTGAGTCATCTCCTTAGCCCTCTTTCTGGGCATTTGGATAGCCTTATTTGAGACATTATTTGAGACTTGGCTGCTGATGTGATGTTGGGGGACATGGCTCTTGTACCAATAGAGAAGGCTCTGTATGCTCACTGTGGTACAAATGCACTGAGTCATCACGCTCAAAGGAATAGTTAGATCCCTTCCTGAGTGACAGGGATTTTATCCATTAGGGCTGACAATGGGGGCTTCCACGTTTGTGTTCCTTATCTCTGGAAAAGACACTGTTTGGAGGAATGGGACCAATGTACAAAGAGAATCAGAGGTAAAGTCTTGAAAGCAGCAGGAGTCTGTTCCTTCGAATCCTATTTTAGTCCTAAGGCAGGGGTGTTGAACCCATGGCATGTCTTTGTTATCACTGAAAGCTGTAAAAGCTTTGCTATCACTGGCCTAGATCTTGCCTAGGATCTTCTATCACTTCCTCCTTCAACCTAAGCTGCCTCGTTCATCCTTCCTTCATGATGAATGGCTTTCACAGTGTTTACAAATGGGTACTTTGTGGGCCACAGTCAGCCCACACATTTTGTTTGCTCCACACTAGATGGTGCCAAAAAAGAACACCAGAGAAATCCGATTCTCAGCTAAAATAGCGAATAGTTTTCCTTCTTCTTCTTTTTTTTTTTTTTGATAAACACGTTCTACACAATATTTGGGTCACACATACACTAAAAATACTTCAATAATTTGAAATTTGGTTTTTAACTGAGTAGTCTATATTTTCCTATGCTAAACCTAGCAACTTCATAATCCTGCTGTTTTGGAAAATAAGGCAATATATAAAAACTGAACGACTTCTCAAGTAAATTCTGATTTTGGTTCACTAGTAAACCCTCACAGGACTGGTATCAGTTAAGAGTTTGGCTGCTTCTTCAGAGAGCTCACACACTCCCCTGGCTGCAGGACCCATCCCTCTTTCACAGGTGAACTGCCTGATTCTACAACCCTGGGAGAACATGGCTGTCATCTGTGCTCTCTTCTGAGATACCTTTCCTGAGGCCCCAGGAGAGAGGACACATCCATGCCCATGTTTTCAAGACATTCTGCAGTTGTTCAATGCCTAGGAGACCCACTGGGAAGATAACTGAAACTCTCCATTATACAATGGACCGCACAATGACTTTGCCAGAATCTTTCCTGCAGCTCCCCACATTCTGAACAGCACCAGGAGCTCTTGCGACTTTCTCGGTCTTTGCCTTTATTATTGTGTTTCCTTTGCCTGAAGAACACTTCCATACCTCTTCACCTGCCAACTCTCCTGTGTGGACCTCCTCTTGGGTACTCTTCTGTACTTAGTACTATGCGGACAGTACAGCAGCAAAAGGCAGAAACCCAAAGCCAGACATCCTTGCTGGGGAACCCTTCTGTGTCTTGTGGTTCTCATCTCTACATACTGACTGTGGGGATAATATCCACCTCCAGGGTAAGGGTTAAATCAAGTCATCTAAGCAGAATGCTTATGCAGCTGTGTCATAACCATTTATTAGAATGTTTATGACTCACCCAATTCTACCCAAATCTATTGAGCCCAGCATGAAGCACTAGGCTAGGCACACAGAAAAGAGTAAACCACTGCTAGCCTCCAGAGGAAGATTCTAACAAAGTAGAAATGTTAAAGCCACATGGGACATGCTATAAGTTAGGTTTTATGGCAAATGAAGGCAGGACTGAGGCAAAGGGGTAAATTTTGGGCATAAGAGGGACTGGAGATAGGATCCCAAGAGAAACAGTATTTAAGGTGAGACTTGACAGTCTCTATGAGGCAAGGCAGAGCCCCTCTCTGTACAGGCAGCAGCGTGAACCAAGAGATACTACTCTCCCCAGGGACTGAACTTTCTGCCAACTTTCCCCTCTTACACCACCAAACTGCCTCTACCTACACAGTGAACCCTGCTGTGTTTATCTCTTCATTCCCTGCTCTATCTTGGTGCTCAGCACACTTTTCTTGAAAAAAAAATTGCTGCACCAAACACAATCTGAAACTCTCTGGATTGATGTTTTCAATCTCTCAACATCACTTTTATTCAAAGCTGGTAGTTAAGAGTACCTTGTCTTTGAGCATTGTATAGTCTGAAATTTTATGCTCACTCATGCACAGAATTGGCTCTTATTATGACAGTACTTTAACAATATTCCCTGCATATAAAAGCAGGTACACAGAAAGTGCACCACGAAGTGAATCTGGTAGGGGAGACGAAAGGCACAGGAAGAGGAAAGGAAACTATGAGCCAAAAACCTACAAGAAGGAGTGGCAAAAGTTCAGGTAATAAAAGTGCTCTTAACAAGAATCAGGAAACCAAGCCTGTACAATTGGAAGGCAGAGAAGTACAGCAGCAAAAATACACTTTATGTTTAGGCATCTGTGCACAGAAAACAAGAAAGTAACTAGGTAGCTACTTACAATGAGTGGCCCTTCCTGCTGTCTGCCCCAGACCTGGATTCTGCCATGAACGGTGAGGGTTTCAGATCGACTGGGTGGAAACCATGAAAGTAGAACACTGGGTTTTGTCAGGTATTCTTTCACTGCTCTAATTATTACACAGCCGCTACCCACTTAATCCTTGCAACACTCGAGGTAAACTTAATTATTAGCCCTATTTTACAGAATCTGAGAAAGAACAAAGGTAAAGTTACTTGTGCTGGCGAGCTAGGTGGTCTGGCTGAGTGCGGCACTCACAATCAACTTTCTTTTTTGATGCTTATATTTTTCACTATAATGTCCTGTTAATTTTTCACAATTAGTTTCTTGTGAAACCAAAGAAAGTGTGGCAAGAGGCCATTTTCTGGGAGTACAGGTCTAGCCTCGGACTCCAGCTCTACTACCCCAGGATTTAGTGAGGCTTAGACGGCTGTTAGGATTAGAATGTATTAAGGAGCACCTAGTAGCCACGCAATAAATGTTGATTTTGTTCTCATTTGCAAGGCAAAATTTGGGCTGAAATCTTAACATTGGGCATTCTCGGCTAAACATAGTCTCTCTGCAATGTTTTAAACTTGGTGCGTGCTTAAAATTCGACAAGCAGTGGCTTGCACATACCAAGGGGCAAACGCACGAAAAATACAAGACCCGGACCAGGTGGCCGCATCCCCAACTGCTGCCTACAAGACCGTGAAAGAGGTCCTAGGGCTGGCACCTGGGACACGGGCAGCTCTCCGAGCCCACCCTTCCTCTGCCCTCTCCGGTCTCTCCTCCTGCCCTTTTCTCCCCGCCCCCTCGGGCCCTTGATCGTGCCGCGCGGGCCGGGGGCTCCCGCGCCGCGCGGCAAAGCAGCGAGGTAGCGCACTTCCGCCCGCTCCACGAGGGCGGAGCTCTGCGCACGCGCGGGGCCCCGAGGCGGCTTTCCTCGGTGACCGCCGCGGAGCTGGCGCTCTGCGCCACTCACCGGGGCGCTTTCGGGCAGATTGTAACGACACAGAGTGTGGTCCAGGTCGAAGCCAACCACGTCGCAGGCGGCCAGGGAGAAGTGCTGAGCCATGGCCGCGCGGGGGCACAGGCTAGTGCCTCCGGCCGGGGAGGGAAGAGAAGGAGCGGGAGGGCCTCTGCGGGGCGAGGCCCAGCCGGACGCGCAGGGTGGGGAGGGCTCCGGAGCTCCGCCCCCGCGCCGGCTCCGCCCACAACGCGCAGCGTCCGCCCCGCCCTCTCCGTCGCCCGCGCGCTGGCCCGCGAGAGAGCGGGTCTCGCGCAGGTGTCAGAGCGGGTTCGGTGGAACCCAGCCCCGCTCCCTGCGCCGAGGCTCGGCAAAACCCGGGAGGTCCCGGTGTGTAACCGGTCCCTGTGTGCTTGAGAACGGGTGATGATACAAACGGGGCTAATGCGTTCGTTCCTCACGCTGCCCAGTTTGGTAGACCTTTTTGCCTGCGTTGTTTCTGAGGTCATGCAGGACCAAAGCTTTATTTCTAGTCCGTGGTTTCATAATTCATACCATGAGACTCCCACGTTTCACCGTTTCTTCCCCTGAAATGCGTTAGCGAACAACTAGACACCGCCAAGGATCGCTCTGCAAAAAAGACACTGGTAAAAAGAACTGATCTGGGTTGTTGTTTCATAAACCTATTCCCTGTCGTAAAGAATTTTCCTGTGAAAAGGCATCAAAACCTTCATTAGTCTACAGAGCATAGTACAAAAGGAAACTTACTGCCCAAGATTTTAAAAAACATTTTCTTAGTCCGTATTTGCGGTAGTGTTTCTACTCCTCGTGTGGTGCTGGGGCCTTAAGCAACACACCGATTTCTTGATCACTTTCTCTCTGTCCCTTCTCCCTTCTTCTCTGGTCACCTTCCTCTTTGAGAAAGATTAGTCTTTCTACTTCTTTTTTTCTCTGTTTATAACTTGGATTTCTCATATTAGAGAAACCAGAGGTTTAAGGGTGAAAGCAGGAAATAACTTGATGGTATGCCGAGTCCTGTTGGGACTGTATGGAGCCAGTATGCTCTTATGTGCAGAGGAGAGTTCATCCGTTACATGCAGTGGATACCAAAAGCACTTTATTCCCTCCTCCAGCCCCTGGATGTGAATAGCTAGTTTGTTACGATTTTATTCTATAGCTCCTTGTTTAAAAAAAAAAAAAAAAAAAAACAAGTTATTGTTTTTATACTGCTTTAGTTTTAAATGTAAAGAAATACTTTGTCCAATGGTAAGCAAAAAATCAGTATTTGTAACATAAAAATGTAATTGATTGGGAATTACATTTAAACCCTCACAAATAGTAACTAAGAGACCAAGGGATTAATTTAGCACCATAGTGCAATCAGATGTGACACAGTACTTAATGATATGAGAATAAATTGATAACTTGTTCTGCCATATCCTTAAAAGCCCCAAACAAATTTCTCTGGAATAGGAATAGGAAAGAATCTTCAAGAAGATTGAGCTGTTTACTGATCAGAGACCAGCCACCACTTCCTTGCTATTTGTTGGGAGAGCTGTGACCTTGGGTTCCATTTTGCCCTCTGTCATGGAGTCCTTACCAAAATCGGATTCCCAGATGGACCACACAGTGCAGGCAGGCCACTGTTTCCTTGAAGGATATTTGTAAAAATGAGCACTTTGAGATTCCCTTAGCAAGAATGGCCAGGAGGAAAAGTGTGACTATAAAAGGTTTGTCTTTTGATTGCTTAGCAAAAACTTCCTTCTGCACCCTCCTGGTGTGTGGAACTGGGGGCTGGAAATTTTTTTCTGCGAGTTGGAAAAGATTCCTTAGTATGTAAGCTGTAAACGATGTGCAATGGAGTGTTGCAAGTGTTCAACAGTCTTTTTTTTTTTGAACAGGGTCTCATTAGGCAGCTCAGACTTGTAGTGATCCTCCTGTTTTTGGCCTCCCCAGCACGGCGATTACAGGGATACAGCAACAGGCCTGGGCTGGGTCGAAGGCTCAGAGTGCCCAGGGGCGAGGCCCATGTGGCCTATGGTGCTGGATGGAAGCTGGTCCCTACGCTTGCCTAAGCAGGTGCTTAGTCCCATAAGCTATCTCTGGGCACAATAGTCTTAACTACTTGCTGAATAGCAACTGTTACATTTCTTACATTCTTTACGTCCACTCAGAGTCCTTGTACTGGACTCTACATCATTTACATTTGGAGAATTTTGTAAATTGTTCAATATTATCCTTGGGGAAGATCATACTCATTGTGAGCCCCACATCTCAAACTTCAGCCTGACATCTCTAAGAAGTTTCCCTTCTATCCCCTAAAACCTGAGTTTAAATACTAATATGTACTTTGTTTCAAAAAGGCTTATTTTCAAACAAAAGTGTTTTCCCTGAACATTAATCATTTACCATACTTCTATAAAGTGCCTCATCTTTTCTGTTGTTAATGATAAGTTCCATCTACTCAGGTACAAGTTAATTTCTTTAAGTGCTATGATGAATATATGAGTATTATAGAGTGAATTGTGTCTGTACCAAATATATTTTGAAGACCTATTTCAATGTTTTGAAATAGGTGCTTTAGGGAGATAAACAGGTTAAATAAGATTGTAAGGATGGAGCTCTTTTTGGATACAATTAGTGCTTTGTAAGAAGAGATACCAGAGAATATATGCACCAAAGAAAGACTGTGAGAGGGCACTGGGAGACCAGGAGAGAGACTCATTTATCAGCAAGTGTTCAAATCTTTTAAACTGGACAAAATTTTTGTTGTTCTTTGAAACCACTCAATCTGTGGTATTGTATTAGCGTGATTAGACTAAGACAGCCAATAATGAGATCTGACTCTAATCTATATTGTTGTGTTAAGTGTAGCAATAGTATTTGTCACTTGAGAGATGCTCAAATGATATGAAATTTGACTCATATACTTTTTATTTATTTTTCCAAATTTAGGTACTTTTAGTTATATGAAATATTAATACCATGCTGTAAAGCTTAGTATTTTAAAAGTATTCCATTGACTGATTCTTTTTTTTTAAAGTATTTGGTACAGGGTCTCACTACGCAGCTCTGATTCATAGTGATCCTTCTGTTTTCAGCTTCCCAGCACTGGGATTACAGACATGTACCACCACACCCGGATTCCATGGCCAGCTCAGCGTGCCTGAGGGTGGGCCTGGCCCAATGTATGGTTCCAGGGATTAAACCCAGGTCTCTGCTCTTGCCTAAGCAGGTGCTTAGTCCGCTGAACTATCTCACTGGCCCACTGAGTTTTATAACTATAGAGTTATACAATAACTTAGACTCATTCAGAAATAAGTTATAATACTGTTTTCCAGATTTGAGTTTATTACAACAGATGTACTCTTTAATGAAGGCATTACTATAACATAGCAATTTTTATCTTAGATATGATTTATTTGTTATATAATATAGTTTAAATAACTGTGTGATCAGTTACCTTAATTTTTAAGCTCCAAAATAAGTCACTTAATAGATTTTGTGGATTCAAGTACTGCATTTTAACATGTATTGCAAACATTTGTCAATTTTTTTTTTTTTTTTTTATTGACAGGATCTTTCTATGTACTTCAGGCTGGCTTCAAACTAGCAGAAATTCTCCCAACCAGTATCCTAAGTGCTAGGATTACAGGTGCGTACCACCGTGCCGAGCAGACTATTATTTTGGAAAAAGTTTAGAGTGCTTTTTAAATTTCTTCCTAAACGTTGGAATGTTCAATTTTTTACATAACCTGTGATAGTGTATATATTCTCTTGACCATATAATTTGTTTAAAGAATAACCTTAAAATTTGTTTAGTAATTTGAAAATATACAAATGCCTAAATCTCTGTAATACTTAAAATATCAACTGGTCCAATAAATGGAAATAAAAGCTAACTTGTCTACAAGTAGGCACAGGGGCTGCGGGGTTCAATCCCTGGGTTGGCTCTGCCCACCTGAGCCCCGCCCCAGGGACGCACTGAAACCACGATTGAGACTGAGCATGCTAGCCTGTAATCCCAGCTCTTGGGAGACTGTAAACAGGAGGATCACTACGTGTCTTATCTAGTGGTGAGACCCTGAACACCCTGTAGACCCTTCCCTAAAATTAAAAACCAAAACAGAAACAAAAAGTGACTTGTAATACTGTGTGAGGCCTTTAGGTGGCAATGGTTCTACATTAGTAAAATTTTCATAAGGCTTCTTTTGTAATCTTCTTTTATAATCTTTCTCAGCAATAACAACAAAACCTACTTCATTTTCTTGTCCCTGCTCTTAGAACAAGAAAAGAAACCTACTTACAAGTTTCACTATGTTTTTGGGTCTTTTTATGGAGGGGAGGATGGGATGAGATGAAATCCTTTGGTAGGAAACTTACAATGATTGTATTTGAATCAAGAAGCAGATATTTAAAATACGAAATGAGTTTTCCTGGAGAAAGAACTGAAACATTAAGTGACAGAATTGTGCTTCAAACAGATCTCAAATGATATGAGCAATGGATAGGCAAGATGCCAAGTTTTTCTTGTGGGTTTAAATAGTCAAATTTAACACGATGCTGGAAAAGTTTGATTGGCTAGCAGCTAACTGGAAAAAAAATGTGGATATCCTGATGGTAAACTAGTTCCAGTTTCAAACTCAATGTTTCTTTGATTGATGGTCACTTCATAATACTTCCCTTGTATTTGGTTGCCCTCTGTAAGCAGGGGACTTAAAGTTGCAGAAGAGTTGACGCATGTTGTCAGTGCTTCTGGGACAACGTTTTGATTCTTACTGGGATCTGCACACATGATTTTTCCAGAAGAAGAGCATCCGTGACAATTTTTTCTTGCCTTTCACCACACTAAGCATATTGGCCATCATCTTTGCAGTGGAACAGAATGTATTTAAAAAGCTCATCACCATTTACTGTAATCCCTCTTCATGAAACTAATACTGCCTAAGAAAACACAGAATACCCACTTATATTTGAATGTCCCAAATATTCCATGAGACATACTAACACTAAAAGAATTATTTGTAGTTTTTAAAGAATACAACATGATAAAAAAAATAGAAATGATACACAAAGTACTATGAATATGACAGTGGTTATTGTATTGCATAACATTATCTTCAAATTAGTTGTTTAGGTTACCAGATATAAACCTGAAAAATTGGAAAAAGTTATAAGAAATTAAAAAGAGAGGGCCGGGGAGAT